CAAGGCATTCCTGGAGTTCAAGGATGTGGTGAAGGCTTCTCAGCGCTGAGCTCGGCCTTGCTTGTCTGGGACTGCCAGTGTGTATAGTGCCTATGTAGTTTTATCCATGGTTGCCTGAAACTTGTCGTATTTCAGCCATGGCTACTTTCATACAGTTTATCAACGAATGCTGCAGATTGCATTTGAGTGCCAAAGAAAATGACGATGCGTGGGACCATGATGGGATGGAGGAAGCTTTATTTTTGCAGCGCCGTGAATTCGGGCTTAATGATCACTCAATGCTTTCACTATCCGTGTCACAATCAGCCAAAGCGTACCAAACGCCCTTGTTACTTTTTGCGCCCACACTGTTTGGAACCCAGACCTCCAGTGGGGCCCTGTGTTCTGTCTTTTGGTTGGGGGTTCAGTGTCCCTTTGGCATTTTGTCCTATGAACAGCTACTGGAGGTGGGGAGTCATTGGGTTGAGCCATGTCAACATCCCGAAGCCAGACATTAGGGGATCCGTTTCACGGGGCACCAATCAAGGAGTTCGCATCGCTGGCACAGGATAACCCATTTGTGAAAACCCATTCATCGTGGTCACCCGGAAATAGCTTCCAGCGGCTTCCTGACTCTGGCTTGCAAGTCCTGGCGGCTAGAGTTGAGATAGATTGATCATTCTTGCTAGACAGGAGCATCTCGAATAGTAATTCCATTTGTGGGCCTAGACTGGAACACTTCAACAACAAACACGTATTGTTATTGTGCATCAAGCCAAAACTCTGTTCACGTTTGTTTGCGTCTGTTGTTTGAAGGCACCATTGGGCATCTATATTCGGATGGGCTCAAAGCGAAGCAAAAGGATTTGTATCATTTTGGGTCACATGTGCCACACCCAATGTGCTGCAGGCCGTTCGTGTTACACACCTAGGATGCCGTTTCTTTTATACACACACACACAGACACGTGCGCACGCACGCACGCAGGCACCCCCCCCCCCCCCCAAACACACGCGCACACATTTGTCAGGACCCTGGCAAGTATGACTACACTGGCGAGCAAGCAGAGGAGGAAGAGGCCTTGGTCGGTTCGGGTGGCTCGTCAATGTGGTTATAAAGGCCTAAACCAAAAGGCAAAAGGTGATATCCTTATCAGACTCCCCGAACCCTTCCGGGACCCTATTTGGGCAAAGATCCCAAAGCTTTTGGCTGTTGGGTTGTGGGCGGATTAAGTCATGAACCACGCAAAAAGCATGTGTCTGTGACATGTTTTTATGTTGCAGTTCCTCCCACTAACCTCGGATTGTTGGCCGCTTGACGGAGAGTAGGCCTCTCATGTTTGCAACAAGTCTGACGAAGGTTTCAGAAAAAGGTTGCAACCAGTCTGACGACAATGTACGCATAGTAGACTGCATGTGTGATTGCAACACGTACATCTGCTTCTGCGCGTGTGAAGTCTTTTTGAACTCCCAAGCCACAGAGTTGGGTTTGGCATAGATGTCTCCCATATCAACAAATCTCATAGATTTTCCCATGGCGATGGCAATGCGTCCCTGCCTGAGAGGCACTTGAGACATTCGACAATCTCTGTACAAGGACAAGGTAGAGCTGCACAAGCCTTTGCAGCCCACTGCCAAAGAAACACACACTTTTGCAAAGTGGTTGGAGTCCGCTCAGAATAGCTGGGCCGTATCTCAAAATATAATCCCAAAATGGGTGGGTTCCCTTTGCCTAATATAGATTGCCACCGTGAACAATGCCATGTGAGCCACAATCCCAAAATGGGTGGGTTCCCTTTGCCTAATATAGATTGCCACCGTGAACAATGCCATGTGAGCCACAATCAAACCCGGGTAGATGAAGGTTAGTAAGGGACAATCCCAACCATACATAGCTGCGGCCGCCGTCCTAATTCTTCGCATGGTTCTGGGATTACGACAATTTTACAACCGGGTTTTGACTATGACTCATGTGTCCCTCATTGGTTCGGGGAATCGGCTTCTTTTGACCCGACTCCCAGATGCTGCCGCCCACCCCGCGGGACACGGGGCCCAGAAGGCGCGGATCGAAGGATTTTTTGGTGGCACGAGGCTTGCATTGGAAACCGCTTTCGGTCAAAGACGCCGGGGTCATAAACTGTTTCTTGTAAGTGGTCCAAAACCAAACCAAAAGGATATGTGTATTTCTTTCAAGTCTTTCCAGACCCCCTATGATTCATAGGTGTTAGTTAAGACTCGGTTTCCGTCAATTTCAGGGAGGCATGAGGCCTCACACCGGAAAGATGCTCGGAGGCCTAAGAACCCAGAGCTTTTCGAGGCCTTGGGGGCATTGGGCACCAAAATCAGAGCCGAATATGTCCTCATTAGCACCTTGTTGGGAAACCAGGGGAGCGGAGGGGAGGGGTCGGTGGAAGGGGGGTGGATCCCGTGAATTCCAGCGGTTTCTGGGTTTGTAGTGCTGCGGTCTAGATACGACTTGGAAAGGCAAGGATCGAGGGACATGGGAGACTCGGTGACCAGCAATCTGGTTTCAGGCTGTCAGAGAAGGGTGCAGACTTTTCCGGACTGCACGTGTTGAAAAGAATCTTCGACCTGGCCCCAGACCTGTGGGTCATTCTTAAGAGATTCCCCTTGAAAAAATCAAGCAACACAACAGAGCGCCCTTTGCTTCCCATGGCCACTGGGGGCCTTGGGGCCTGCAGTTTGACAGGGCCAGGGCTGGGCCAAGCGAGTCTTTGAAGGAAGGCACCGCCGAAGTGTCGATACATTCCGATGCAACACGTTACATCAGGAGAGCTTCTCGTGAATGATGCAGCGTCACTCCTGATCACACACTCATGGTATCACATGACAAGAGTGCCGGTTGGTCATGTCTCAGGCAACAACTGCAGCTTCACCAACCACAACCAAAACCGATCACACTTGAGCAACGGACAATATTTACCGTCATCTGATGTACTAAAGGGGCTGAGATTGGGCACACTCGTGAATTTACCATGAGGAAATGGGGTTGCTTTCCAAATTCCGGTGACATAATGAGTCATGACCGTGGCTCACTGCGCTTTGATCTCCTGTTTCCGGAATTCCTACGCAGGGCAGCGGAGACAACTGGCAAGGGCCTCAGCGCCACGGGGCTGTATGGATCTATGGGGTCAGCTTCTAGCCCCCCAAGCACACCGTGTGTGTGTGTGTGAACCGTCCTGGAACACGGACGTTAAACCCTTCGGGGTTTTTCTGAGCAGGGGGGCAATCCCGTGAGCATAGCTGGTTGCCCAATGAAGAGGGCTATGCCACGGCTGATACGGAGTCTGATCAACTCCGCGTACCTGCATCATTTGAGTGACTCTGAAAGTCTTTTTGACCCTCTTCTTTTGCGGTTCCTGTTTGTCGCTGTTGCTTCCTGTTCGGTGTCGATGTTGTGACCTGTTGCTCTGCATTTGCATTCAAGCATTTTTACTGACTGCGGTTTTCATCTCGGCTAGTGAAGCCTCTCGAGATAAGTGTGTTTACCCACGGCCTGTCCGACATGGCGCTGTGGGCTGGACTCGCCATATGCGGGAGCCCCCTGCAAGGGGATGACGTTCAAAAGTTCACGTTCAGTTCACCTTCGCATTGCACTGCCTGCCTTTTGAACAAGGCAGCTCTCATGAGGTATCAGGCTCCGGCAGCTTCATTCGCATTGCACTGCCTGCCTTTTGAACAAGGCAGCTCTCATAAGGTATCAGGCTCCGGAAGCTTCATGCGCGAGTGACAAGCCGGTCGGACACCGACTTTGCAGTTCATTGATTCACGCACTGCGCTGACTCAGATCAGTTCAATTCACTTTCACGATCAGGTGACACCTTGACTTGATTTGATGCGATGTCTTGCTTTAACATGCATCGACAAGGCAGCATTTTCAAGGTCCAGGTCTTGACTGAATCAAGCCGTAGTCGCTTTTGTTGATCTCCTCCGTTCGCTTAAGATCAATACCAAGGCCAAGCATGCATGGTCTGTCATCGCCACGTCCCGCACAATCGAAGACTGCAAGACTCAATGGGCCTTGCACAAGTGAGCTCGCCCCATTCGGGCCTTGTGTGTGTGAACCGTCCTGGAACACGGACGTTAAACCCTTCGGGGTTTTTCTGAGCAGGGGGGCAATCCCATGAGCATAGCTGGTTGCCCAATGAAGAGGGCTATGCCACGGCTGATACGGAGTCTGATCAACTCCGCGTACCTGCATCATTTGAGTGACTCTGAAAGTCTTTTTGACCCTCTTCTTTTGCGGTTCCTGTTTGTCGCTGTTGCTTCCTGTTCGGCGTCGATGTTGTGACCTGTTGCTCTGCATTTGCATTCAAGCATTTTTACTGACTGCGGTTTTCATCTCGGCTAGTGAAGCCTCTCGAGATAAGTGTGTGTGTGTGCGTGTTATATGGTTGTCTTCCCTAAGGGGATGTGGATGTGATGGGTGCAACGGCGTATTGCTTTTATGATTTTTCAATGAACGCGTCAAGTGCTTTTGCACGCCGGCCCCCAGCAGCTTTGGAGAAGAGTCTGAGTAGGCTCATGTGGGCCAAATGCAGGAGCTGTCATCCTTTGGTAGGGCTGTCTACAGAGCTGGCCTGGACAATTACCAATTCCGGAGGTGTAACTTGCTCTGCGTTTTCACAATTCTACTTGTCATAGAGCTTTGGCACTCCGAAAGCTGCCTTTGGGGTTTGTTTCAGAGTTGCATTCTCACCTACATGCTCCTTTTATGAAGGTGCAATACCCCTTGGTCGCCTTTTTTGGGAAGCCACTGAGGTTGTTTACACAAGTGGTTAAAACATGTACAAGCGAGCATGTCAAACAAATGAATGCAAGAAGTGGTATAAACTTGCACGCAAGTTGTATAAAGAAGCAGGCCACAATCAACACCCAGGTCAATGAAGGTAGTAAAATGGGCTGCTTTGATTGTTGTGGGCAAAGGGATTCACTGCGTGCTGTGTTTTCTTCTGCGCGAGTCCGGCTTCAGCAACCGATTATTTTTTTGCGCTTCTCGCCATGGCAGACGTGGTGGTTCAGGGCAAAGTGATTGCCACCCCCTCGGATCAGCCTGAGGCAGGTCCATACTATGGACCTGGTGCCGCCTATCAAGCGCCACAGGCGCATGTACAGCATGGGCAGCCAGGCAGGGGGCAGAATGTGTGCAATCCAGCCTATGATCCAATTCACAAGGGAAACTCAAGGCGGTTGTTTTTGGCTATGGCGGTTCAAACATAAGCTGGGACCCCAGACCTGAGCCCCGTCAGGCTATGGGCAAGGTCCTTCCTACAAGCCAGGAGCTGCGCCGTACTCTCCATATGCAGGGTCCCCGATGCCGGCAACCTATGGACATGGGTCAGCACCGGCACCGCCGCCGAAGCATCGCCAGACTTAGCAGGGTGTTTCCATTAAGCTTACAGGTTGGACTTGTTGCTGGGAACAACCCAGTCAAAGGTCGCACCCTTTGGGGTTTCTTCTTGTTGTCCCTTCGTTTGAACAAACATGTCGCTTGGGGTCAGATCCGTTTGGCCGAGGAGACATGACCTGGATGTGGTGCAGCTCTCCTGCAAGGATGCGCATTTGCCACCGGAGGTGCGGCTAGGCTTTGTGAAGAAGGTCTACGGCATCTTAGGCACCATGCGGCTGACCTGGACTCAGCTGTTTTTTTGCTCACTGCTTGGCTCCATGTTTTGGGCCAGCCATCGTTCCAGCGTTGCTGTGTCCTTCTCTTGTGTTGTCGATGTAGCATCGTGTTGCGGTATCCATTCTGGCTTTACCACAAGTGGTGAGTTTCGTTGCACGAGCGCGAAACAACCAGCTGTGTGAGGCTGCTGATCACCTTCGGCATCACCACGCCGTTCATTTTTGCGACAAGGGATACTTTGCGGTTTTTCCACCAGAACCAATGGATCCTCTACATCGTGGCTTGGCCACTCTTATGGCTTTGCACCTTTTAAGTCCAACCAAACAACTGGATGTCCAGGTTTTGCAGGTCGAAGAGTAGCGACCGAGGTGGGGGGCATCGTGCTGGCACAGTTGGTCTTCGACCTGTGTATGTCCTGCCAACTTTGCTGTGGAGGCACAGGACTTATCAGGACCTACTTTGCTATGATGAAGACTCCACCCTGGAACTATTTGCACCTGGCAGATCAATGGGCGAGCGGGCGGGTGGGTGGGTGGGTGTTCGTGTTGTGAGGGCACCCTTGTGGAGTTCTATTTACAGGGATCTCAAAGGGAAATTGCCCTCCTCATATTTTGTTGCATACCCAAATCGGGTTTGAACAGGCAGAAGTCTTAAGTCACCTTACAGAACACCGCAAGAGGGTGGATCATTTACTAGCCAGCCACACCAGTAAACTGCGATTGAACAGCAGCAGGGGTCTTCATGACCTTTGACAGGGGGATGATCGCCTCAAAGGGTGAGACGGAGACTGCTGACAAAGCAAACCACGTTTTTGTTAATCCTTTTTTTCAAGTGATAATGGTTTCTCTTGTTGTGGTGCGCCGCTACAGTCTACGGATTAGGATTAGGACCGGGCCCTCCCCATTTTCAGCAACCCACAAAAACAAAGTTTACTGTCACCTCATAAACACTGAAGTCTGGTCGCTGCATCGACAAACAAGCTTTGGAGAAACACTCTTATTGGACAAGTTGTAACAAGCTCACCAGCGGGAATATTGCACTCACCCATGATGAAGGTCCTTGACTGCGCCCTTTGAACCTGCACCAGGGAGGTTTCTAAGAGAGGAAATGGAGGCATCCAAATGATGCGGTTTCCCTTTTTAGACGCAACACAAAGTAACCCCCATTGAGGGTAAACCTCAGGTAAGTGATGACCTGTTGTTAGCTTGTGCTAAAGGGAACTCACCCCAACAAACACAAAATATGTCAAAGACAACAGGGGCTCTCCTCCCTAAATCCTGCGCTCGGGAAGCCCCCTCCACCAACAGATAAGACACAATGTGGGCGTGTATTTGTTTGAGATTGCCCTTTTTGGGGTTGGTTTATGGAGGGTTCCCCTATTTTGACATACCCATAGGAAACAACTGGACAAATATGAACATATCGGGCACACACACACACAATCTCACGCACGCCCATTTTAGGCACCCGACTTCGGTCACCCCCGAAAAGCAACCCCAACGACATACCAGTGTGTCTTAAAAAACAGGGTATCCCCGTTTAACCTACTCCAAAAGGGGTATCCTCAAAACAACATACACACACGCATACCCATGATCCATGGACATGGTTGTAGAAAAGTTGGTTGTGGCAATTGATTATGGGATTCCAAGGGAACCTCATTTGAAGTTGCAAAGTAGTCGTGGGGGTGGTCAGCTTTGGTACCGCAGACTTGATTTTCCACCATGGTCATGGACACCAGGTACCTGATGACCTTCTCAGTGTGCTTCGGTGTGCTCATCGGCTTCGTGTGTGCTCAGTACACCGCCCAGTCGGTGCTGCTGGTCTTCGCGCTGACCTTCGTGCTGGTGGTAGCTTTGACCATCTACGCGGTAAAAACCCAGGCGGACAAATTTTGCCGAACCCATACGGATATGAGTGCAACTCTCAGTCGACATCGTCCATTTTCAGATCGTCGTTTTGTGTTTGTGTGTGTGTGTGTGATTCTGTGTGTGTGTGCCTCAAAATCGCCCCCTAAACAAGGGTGTTGTTCCTTTTGGTTCCCTTTAAATGCATACAGCAGTACCCGGGCGAGTCTTTGCTTTTTAGACTTTCGGGGTTAGTTAAAGGGTGAACCCAAAGAGAAACCACACTTGGGGGTCCCTCTTTGGAACAGATATAACGGCGAGGCAAGGTCACTCAAGTGGGTGTGGTCGCATTTTGAGGGTGGTTCCGGGGCTGGACCACACCCCTACGGATTCAGAGCCAGGAATCTGAGCAAAAAAGCAAAATGGCAAGTACGAATGGCAGGCAAATCAAAATGGCAACATTGTGGTTCCGCCCCCCCCCCAAAAAAAAAAACAGAAACAGAAGCGTATCTTGGTCCTTCAATATACGGGGTTTGCCTTGTGTTGGAGTCGTGAAGTATGACTGAGATGCCCAATTAAATGGACTTCCAGCTCGAAATGTCTTGCCGTTCCAAAACCTAAGACTATTCTTTTCTACCAGGTCACCGGTTGCAACCGGGAATAGGTTGACCTTTCAGCAAGGTTTGACCAGCCTACCAATGGCGGTCAAATGGAACCCAAAGCCGCCCAGCGGAGGTCACTTAGCACACCAATTGATGGTGTGCCCTTGGAGTATGTTGATGGTTCATCTAGTCGAATTCATAGGTGGCGCTCACTGAAATCCGCTTGTCCATCAGGGAACCCTACAAAGGTTCTAACACACGGGTTCTAATCCGCTTCCGACAACATGTGTAGCATCCAAGCGGGTTTCCGTTTGTTTGAACCCATGAAACGGGTCAGGCGGATTTTACCGGCTGCGGGGCCTACATCATGGTGCTGCTGCTTGGATTCGTCATGCTGATCTTGGTCTACTCCTTCTTCCCGAGCAGCCTGGTGTGGGACAAGATCATTGCAGGCGACCAGTTTAGCTTCAGAAAAAAGACCAGGGTGCCCCCTCGGGACACTGGTAAGATTGAAGGGGGAAGCTGGCAAAGTTGGCTTGAACAACCAGCCCCTTCGAAGTGAACGCCTGGTGGCAAAATTGGTTTAATTGGACGATGATACCGTTACCTCTTGCAGATGGGAAACAGCACACTTGGCTGAACAACCAGCTCTAGTATCCCACAATTAAAAGCGGAAAGCAGCAAATTGGCTCAAACAACCCGACCCTGGTACCCCTGAAGGAGAATGGCACAATTGGTTGACCAGCCGAACGCTGGTATCCCTTGAACGGCAAAACGGCAAATATGGTTTGAACAAGCAGACCCTGGTACTGCTAAAAACGAGAACAGCAACACGGAGGTGTATAAGGACAAAAGCTTGCTGGTGCTCAGTAGGGAATGTGGGAACCCAGAAATTCCCTTTTAAAGGAAACCACAAAAACTGATTCAGAGGGTCATTCCCTTCCCTGCCTATCGCACCAGCAAGCAACGTGTTTCGCATGTCTCAAAGAGCTGGGTTTTCGCCCACATCGCCGAAGAGCCTTGGATCGCAGGGGCTGGCGCCACGTTGTTCGGCTTCATCATCGTCTATGATACCCAGATGATCTTCGGTTCTGCGTCGGCCCAATTTGGAGGAGGGAAGAGGGACATCGAGTACACCATTGACATGCACCTTCACTGGTGAGGGTTCTTGCCCTTTCTGGGACACCACCCCATGTTGAGTCTGATTCCCTGAGTTCCAAGATGGGGCGTTTTTTGAGAAGACCAGTTTAGTGGCAAATACCGAGTTGAGGCTGTTGTTTGTCCAATCGAGTCAGGAAGTAAGCTTGATCCTTTTTTGTGGCATGGTTGTTCTGTTCACTGGTGACGGCCTGCACATCAACCGTGCGGCACAGGGGCAACCGTGTTTGGAACCCACCAGCTTCAACCATGGAACTGGTTGTCACATGCACCAGCTGCTCACATGTGAAAAACCCAGCAGTTGGTGAGGTATGCCTTTGCGGCATGGAGCTTGTACCTCGACTTCCTGAACTTCTTCTTGTACATGCTCCAGCTCTTGGGGGAAAGGAGGTCGTAAGTGTAGGAAAATGCGGCGAGATGACACAATGCCCAGCTTCTGGAAAATCACAAGCTGATCATACGCCTTTTGGTTTCTATGTTGCTTTTCTCTCCTGGCATTTGGAAGTCTGTTCGTTTGTGTGGCTTATGTTTTCTTGTCAGGGGAGTGATGCAACCTGCCATTCCATATGGAAAGCTTTGCATGCCTTGGACTGCCGTGTACAGCCCAGTGCAGTCCGCGAGTTCGCCCACATGGCCAACTGGCATCGGCGCAGAAGACGCCTAGCAACTTTGGGCAAGGTTGCCTACCACTGGACAAACGGGCTGCTGACCTTTCGGGTCTCCTCCAAGATGATTTTAGATTTTGGGGTTGGCTAAGTGCCCAGAATCTGAGCCTTTGATTGATTGGCGTGCCACGGATTCGGGCCAATGGGATGGTAATCATTTGTGAAACCCCTATTTCAAGGCACCACGTGCATGGGCTGTCGGCACCAGAATTCTGAGAACCACGTCCTCACCTAGATGAAGGTCAAGGTGTCCCAAGGTGATCTCCGCCTTTTGGATTCTTTCACAACCGGCTACAGGACATACAGCGAATCCTGGTGCCAATGTCCTGTGCAATGTTCTGTAGCTGCGTCGTTTGATTCTTTACGTGGAGTCGACTCCTTGAGTACCACGCATGAGCTTTTTGAGCAGAGAAATCATCCTGCTTGAGCAAAAGATCCTAGATTCGCTTCACATGCTTGTTTTTTTTGTCTTTTTTTTTTGTTCCCCCCCCCCTCCCCCAAATTTGATGGTTTCTCACGGAGCGGCTTGTTTTGGCGCCAACATGGCCGCGAAAAGCTGTCGGGTGTCCGTTCAACTCTTTGCACGCGGCGGCGAACAATACACAGAAAGCGTAGCTTACTTGCGAATATGTGTATATTACTTATTGTGTGTGTGAGGCCAACAAGCACCCACACACACACACATCACTATCTTATGCTCATGACTCAACTTGGTGTCTCAAATACCACATAACCCCATGCAGTGTAGACGCTTCCCGGAGTGTCCCTTGGAACAAAGGCTCTTGGATCCTTGGGGCTCTAGGAATATGGGTGGCCTCGTCTTTCTAGGGACCCCCCAAAGGACAGTTGTTCCTTTTGGTTTCCCTTGGAACCCAAAAGAAGGTGGCACCCTCCAAAGAATGACACGCATGTAAGTGGCTAAATAAATACGATCAGTTCACTCCTATGATGACTCGCTTTAGTGTTGCATTCCCCCCTCCTCCAAGTGTTCAGCGATCCCCCCTTTTGGTTCGCCATCTCGTTTTGGCCCGGTCCGAGGCGTGGCGGCAGGCGGGCGATCCGAAAACGAGTTCATTCAGTGGATGCATTGGCTTATCTTGGCCCTATTCCCACCCCCTTAGAGGTAGGGAAGCGGGTCCACATCCATTAAATGTTGGCACACATGGTGTGTCACAGGATGTGTAAACCCCTGGTTGATGTTGATGGAGGGTGTCTTCTTTTGCGGAACATACTTGTGGGGCAGCCGCGCAGCCCCTCCCCCTGTGAATCTTCCACCCTTTGCCAAGCAAAAGGACAAAAGGCCAGACTCCAGTGGTACCCTTTTTTCCTTCTTGTTTGGAGGGGCTTCCGTTCAAAATTATGGCCATTGGGGGTCTGGAAAAGTGTTTCCCTGGCCCCAGGAACATCCCCGCACGAAGGGCAGGGCCTCCCTTTGCTCAGGAAAACATGGAGGTTTCCCTTTTTGGGCCCTTTAAACATTACCCCAAAAGAAGGAAAATTATATCAAACTAGCCCAAAAGTAACGTTTCAACCAACCCACCCAATTGTTTTCACCGAAGCCAGCCAAATCGTCTCACGTTTGCTTGCGGAAACTTGCGCAATTTGAACCGTGGCATGCCGCGGTCCCACATTTTCTCCTCAGGTGCCAGCCAAGAGAAGCAGGGGCGCCAAGCAGGGCAATGGTCGCGCTTCAGGCGTAGCCACTCACTTTTCAGCAAGCCCTCCAATTTTGAGGAGCGAAGACTTGTTTGGGGAACAAACCTTTTGGCGGAGACCTTGTTTGCGAATGAGCTTTTGGGGAACAGATTCCCTTCTGGTCGCACAGGCCTCCGTTGCTTCTCTTTTAGATGGTTCCCTAGCTCGGCGTTTCGCCAACAGAAACGGTGTCCTGGTTTCCCAGGGAAGGAAATCGACAGGTCTGTGGGGCAAAGAAAAGATTCGAGCTGCCCTCAACTGTGACGAAGTCCCCGTGCCATGTCCGCATGCTTTAGGCACCGCCACGCGATGTTGAAACTCTTGAGCACGACTGTTGCAGGCCCATGCGTTTCTTGGGCTATAAGTCTAGGTCTGAGGGCTGGAAAGGCTTGTATCAAACCATGGCGGGCCAGGGGCGCCAGTGACTTTGTTGCTTGGATTGGAGCAGAATATTTTGAAGGTTGGATTGGCCGTTAATATGGCCATGGGGCATAACCTATGGCTCTATTTTGGGGTGGATGAACATCCATTTGCCACCTATTTTGATGCTCACCAGGGGTACAGGGTTTTTGACCCACAGCCATATCACTGTTGCCCTTTGACTCCAATGTACATGCAGAACAAACAGCGACCATGCCGTACCGGTACCCAGCGGTGCCACTGGTCGCAGGCCGCCACGTCAGGCCAGAAACTGATTATACAAATTGAAGCCCTTAAGCGTACACCCTCGAGGACACAACATAGTGCTGAGTAGTGGTTGGCAAGTCAGTCACGTTGTTCTGACGTTTCTCATGATTCCCCTGTAAATACCAACAAACAATGGTTTACCATGGTTTCGAAGTGGTGCGAAATGGATTTCGTCCATCCACAGTACGTCTTGCAAGTCCTAAGGCTTCAGTTTGGGCGACTCCAACCAACCACATTCGAAGCATCGCCGATGTTGACTGCTTGGCTTGCTCAGGGCTGGCACCAGCAGGGACATGACGGACTTGGAGGCGGATGAGTAGAAGTAGATGTTGTGCAGTGCCTTGAGGCAAAGTGGAGGTGAGTTTACCTTGGTTTTCCTTACCTTGATTTTCCTTACCTTTGTCTTCCTTCCCTTGGTTTTCCGAAACCGTGGGTTTCCTGGACAATCAGCCAGCAAGGGTTAGACGACATCTCGAACAAAACTCAAGATGGATGCAATATTGCAACTATGTCTGAAAGGTCTCCTGTTGTAGAAATCATCCCGGAAAACGCTCAACCATATACCATAGCTTTTGTTGTGAACCAGCTGCACGGATTTCTCCCAATGGCACTTGGCAGATGGCGGGATCCTGAAACAGGGCCTTTCGGATACCAGAGTGGCTTCAGAGCCCGGAACCAGCCGAAACATTTACCTTGAGGAAACCAGTTGCCACACTACAACGCCTAAATGATCGAATGGGGTTGTAAGGCACTTTGAAACCACTTTCAGTCAACATTTATAGGAGTTAGTCCCTCATATTACTTGTTTCCGGAAAAGCGACGAGCAAGCGTTCTGGTTGGCAGCGGATCTCAGGGAAAAAAAACCATGGCAATCCCACCCTGAATTTGACTTGTCCCCCAGGTTTCAAGCGCTCAAAACCGATTCCCATTGGCATGTTAGTAGGTTCCACTGCCTGGTTTGATGAGGGCTAAAGCACGGATGCATTTACTGTTACAATCATGTTGATAGTTCCAAAACGCAATGGGTTTTGGTACAGCTCAAAAGGCCTTGTTCCTGTGACTCAAACGGTGTCTCATTGGTAGTGAAGTTCCTGGAGAAACCATCGTCTCAGTTTTCGGAGGAAATTGGAGCCATAATTTAGTTCTTGGGCATACCATGTCGCACTGAGCGGTTCCCCCGCATGGTTAGCCTAGAAAGGCTTCTCTGTCTTTGGGCCACGCTCGGGGTTTTGCACTCCTGTGACTCCAGTGGCGCCCGTCCTTTTGCAAGGGGCCACCTTTGGGGACAAAACAGACCTAGTAGAATAGAACAAACACGAAGGTTTGCCTTTCCCTTTTTGGCCCACGGCCACCGGTCTGGGATTTGGGGCGTGCCGTGCGCAGGGGCCGCCCACCGACACCGTCGACCCGAAGAAGACCATCAACGACGACAAGCGCCAGCAGGGGAGCCCAAATCTGGGCTGCCGAAGTAACTTTCTCTCTCTCTCTCTCTGTGTGTCTCCCTCCTTCTCTCTGTATACAACAATATATTAATAGACATGTACATAAAACACATACATACATACATACATACATACATACATACATACATACATACATATATATGTACAGAGGGAGAGAGAGGGAGACAGAGAGAGAGAGAGAGAGAGACAGAGAGAGAGAGATGTAGAAGCGTGTTTTCAGGGTCACTTGTTTGGAGAGGTCCCCTAAATGATTGCGCACCTTAGTACCATGACTTTCCAATTGTTCAAGAATCATGACCGGAGCTGGTTTTACAGTATTTCTCCTTGTCCCGGACCTGTGTTGGGTTTGTCCTTTCCTTCACCTTGTTTTTGGCGGGTTTCCCTGGAAAGTTAATAAAACAAGGTGGTCCTATTTTGGCCCTGGAAATGCACTGGAGGTCTGGGGTTGCCTGGGATTTCCTGCTTGAAGGCCGCTTGATGAAGCAGCCGCCGTTCTCCAGCGAGGGTCCAATTGGGGTGCATTTGGTTTTGGAGATACCCACTTTGGGGTCCACCATTTTGAGACAAACCCATGTTGCCCCTGTGGGCACAGATAAACAATTGTATATTTTCAGAGGGAAGCGTAGCCTTGTTGTCGATGAAGGAGGATTGGCGTTTTCAAGTGCTGTTCAAAGTGCGAGGGGTTCGTGTAGCGAGCACTCTGCAAGTCCATTGGATTCAAAGACTGGCGGTGCAGCTGGTGTTCCTGGTGCCGTAAGAAGTATGTCATCGACACATGACTGCAGGATGCACACGCTCTCTGTTCGACAACCTGTGGTCTCTCACGGCTCACTCAACATAGTTTAGGTTGTATTTATATACTCAAGAATGACGAGCAAGATTTCTTGTCCCTGGGCCTAGTATTTTGACTGTCTCGCGGTGTTGTGGATGTTGCGATTCGCCTGTTGTTATGTAGTCATCCCCTTTACTTACTCATATAAGAATTGTGCCATCTACTTTTACCCTGGTGTAGAAAGTAGGGGCCGCTTTGGGGATTGGCGTTGAGACTTATAAGAAAGAGGCGTTGGCCTATCCCAAAATCGAGGTATCCAAGTTCCCCTTTGAAACTTCGAAAAGCGCACCCTCAAAAAGGACGCCCGAATATCCAATGTTGACTCAAAGCCAGTGCCGGATTCTCCCTCCCCCTCCCAAAAAGAACAAAAAAGAAACCACAGCATTCACTTCGGATTTGACGTGAGGTTAGCAACCAGGGGTAGGAACATTGGACATCCGTCCTTCGCGCTCGCTCCCTTCGCCAGGAAGTACTGGGGCAAAGAAGGCCTGATGCGGGAACCGAACTGAGCTTGGCCCTTCTGGCCTCTCGGAAACCCAGTGAAGGGATCAGTCATGTCTCTGAAGTCTCCTAGCCCTTCAAACATGGGCAGTTGCCCAATATTCCAGGGCCGTAACTAGGAAGCCAGGATTCAGCAGAGGGAATGCACGATCCTTCAAAAGCTGCCTAGAGTCTCCTTCTCACCCTTTAAACATGGGGAGTCGTTAGCCCAACGTGGGTACATGACCTCAATTTTAGGGTCATGGATAGTCCAGGTTCCGTTGGGGTAGATAACCAGAGATCGGCATACAGTGTTATTTCCATCCAGGATGATGAAAAGCAAAGACAGAGTTGCGAGTCTGGAGCAAAACCTTATCTGTTTTTTTTCTTTTGTTTTGTGTTTGTGTTCTCGGGGGGTGGGGGGGGGTGGGATGGTTTTGAAGACTTTTGGATGAGCGGGAATGGTGCAATTTTTAATATAGTCAGAACAAAACTTAACTTAACATTGCAACGAGTTCTGGCAGACCATGTGTATGCCTTGCTGTTTGTGGAAAGCGCCAAATTGACATAACTTGACTGTTAGGTTCGAACCAGGAGGCACACCGACTACGCAGAAATCAACCACAGGTGGTTGAAGCACGTCCGCAACCTGACATTCCTACCTTGGGTTGGCCCCGCCACCGCGAGCAGTCACCCGCGTTACAATGAGCGACCGTTTTATTCCATCGAATCATCGGCTCTAGCTAAGTTAACTACATCACCCAAGTATATGTCTACATCTATAATATATACACAATATATATATGCTCACCCCCCCCTGCATGACCTACCTTTTAGCTACAAAAAGCAGGATCTCATCTATCATTTGCCCCTCCCTTCATCGCTATTGGTGGGGCACAGCACTTGGTTTTCATTGCACACGCGAGCAAAACACAAAACTAATTATCTTCAATGCTTATTGATTGAAGCAATGGAAAACCTGTTCCATTATGTTATTCACCGCCACTCATAACAGAATGATGTTCCATTTAATATTAATGACAAGTTTTTTTTTTTTTTTTTAAATATAATTTTCTATATTTCTTTAATATCAACTATGACAGATGTCCCAATAATAAAACCAATAAACATAACTGAATATGAATTCAAACAATCCAAATATGAGCACGTGCTAAAATTACCATTTAGAAGTATTATAGTTGCTTCATCGACGGGAGGCAAAACAGTTTTAGTCCAAAACCTTATCTTGAATGTTTATAGAAATTCATTTGCAAGAATATTTATATTTTCCCCCAGCGTTCATAATGACCCAACTTTTACAGAAGTTAAAAAATACATCAGGGATGAATTGCACGTGGATGATGAAAAAGAACAAATTTATTTTGATAATTATAATCCAAGTGATTTAGAAAATGTAATTGAAAGACAGAAGAAAATAATTAATTATATGAAGTCTAAAAAGATAAAGAAACTACATTCAATATTAATCGTTATAGATGACCACGCATTCAATATTCATCGTTGTAGATGACCATGCAGACGATCCTAAATTTGTTAGATATAGTAAATTATTACACGGACTTTTACAAGAGGCAGGCACGATGCAGTAAGTGTAATTTGTTCAACACAAAATATAATGTTTTAGTGCCTATCATTCGTTTAAATGCCAGTTCATTAGGTTGAAAAATGCAAGTGAGTTAATGAGTTTTATTGAAGAAAATAGCGCCATTGTTGATAAACAGCAATTATTAGATATGTATCATCAAGCCGTTAATGACGCACCTTATAGTTTCTTCTACGTGAATATGAATGCTAAAGACATTAACAAAATGTTTCATATCAGATTTGAACAGGCATTTCAAATTACGAATGATGAATAAAGATATTCTAATTTAATATAATATAGTAATATGCCAATGAAACTATGTAGATGTGGTGGATTTTATCGTAGAGGTAATTGTAATTTTCATACTAATTCTTGGATACATAAACTTTATAAAGTATTGAAAAGAAGGGCAACAGACGAGGAATTATTAAGATGTCAAAATAATTTTGTTGATGAAGAAGATTTAATAGATGATATAAGTAGTACTACTTCAACAACAATACCAGAGGATAAAATGACAGATTATGATAGCAATCAATAATATTATTATATGTTAATATTATTAATTTAAATTAACGAAGCATTGCAAAATTGTAAGGCAGGAAGTTTATATATTGATTTGTCAGATTTTTCTTTCTCTAGTGTCTCAATTCGTGTCACACATTCTTGAAGAGATTTAGTAATTAAAGTGTCTGCTCGTGTTTTTTCTCTATACTTAAATTCTTAATGTCTTCCAAACTATTATTTTCATTATTTTTACTTTTACCAACACCCATTATATATGCTATTATTAAGATTTCAATTTTTCAAAATTATCTTTTTGTGGTTCTTCTTCTTCGTCTTCAGTTGGTGCTGGTATTTCTGTTGTGTTAGATGTCTGGCCCACGACAAAATCTTGGATTCTTGGTTTTCTCGAGGTTTTCTTGGTTTTCCTTGTTTTACTTGGGAATTCTTGGTTTTTTGCTGGAAATTAAAAAAAAAAAAAAAAAAACTAGTAAATCTTGGTTTTTTGCTGGAAATCCAAAAAAACCCTAGTAATTCTTGTTTTTTTGCTGGAAATCCAAGAATTCCCAAGTAAAATCAAGAAAACCAAGAAAACCTCGAGAAAACCAAGAATCCAAGAATCCAAGATTTTCATGTAGATGTCTGGCCCACGACAAAATATTGGATTCTTGGTTTTCTCGAGGTTTTTTTGGTTTTCCTTGTTTTACTTGGGAATTCTTGGTTTTTTGCTGGAAATCCAAAAAAAACCCTAGTAAATCTTGGTTTTTTGCTGGAAATCCAAAAAAACCCTAGTAATTCTTGGTTTTTTGCTGGAAATCCAAACAAACCCTAGTAAATCTTGGTTTTTTGCTGGAAATCCAAAAAAACCCTAGTAATTCTTGGTTTTTTGCTGGAAATCCAAACAAACCCTAGTAAATCTTGGTTTTTTGCTGGAAATCCAAAAAAAACCCTAGTAATTCTTGGTTTTTTGCTGGAAATCCAAGAATTCCCAAGTAAAACCAAGAAAACCAAGAAAACCTCGAGAAAACCAAGAATCCAAGATTTTGTAGTGGACCAAACATCTACCTGAAAATCTTGGATTCTTGGATTCTTGGTTTTCTCGAGGTTTTCTTGGTTTTATGTGAAAAATGCTAAAATCCCAAGGAATTCTGAAGGTTTTACTGCAAAACCATCAAAAACCTAGGGAATTCTTAGTTTTTGACTTAGGGATCTATCTGAAAAACATATCAGTTTTTACACTTGTTTTTTTGAATGCTTTCCTGTTTTTTCTAAAAAACAACATGGGTTTTTGCACATTTTTTGCTAAAACCATCAAACCACACTGGTTTTTCTTAATTTTTCAATGGTTGACTGTGTTGTTTTTTAATCGAAAACCATAAAAAACAGGTGTTTTTTTCACTTTTTTATTGTCTGCTAATGGTCCCCAACGACTTTTTGAAAGACAACGGTAGGTCATGCAGGGGGGGGTGACCATATATATATATACACATGGAGGGTATATAAGGGGTATGTAACAATTGGTCATTACTGGCCCGTTTCAAGGGATCAAGTAACAGAAGTAACATCCTCTTGACTATTGTTGACTCAAAGGCCATCATCCACTCGCTGCGGAAAGTGCTAGTTTGGCAGCTGAAACGAGAGTCGGATGGCCATTCTGCTGTCCTTCACCGAACAAGCTACCGCAAATTGGAGCAGGGTTGCTCCGAGCCAGCAGAGGACCAAACCAGGGCATAGAGCAAATCTCAAGGACACCAACGTGGTTAAACAGATAGGGTTGCTCTGAACCTTTAAAGAAAGCCTCAAGGACCAGCAAACACTTCAAACCGCCCAACCCACCCTTTTACTCACCCTAAACCAGCCCTAGTCCAACCAATGTGCTTTCTTTGGGCTTCGCTTCCCAGACCAATGCAATAGCAGCTACACAGTCGAATGAGAGCACCAGCAAGGATGACGGGAACTTCGATGCCTTTGAGTTAAGAAGCAGACTTCTTTGAATGCAAATAACAGGAGGTTGTGTAAACAACAAAGCAAGGGAATTTAATCAATAAGATAAGCCATGAGATTGTGTAAACAATAGAACCCACAAGGTTGCTTTAGTTAATCAATCCCACACTTGAGTTGGTAGTGTAAACCACTAAACCCGCGCGGAGGATGGTTTAACAATGGTTTGAACATATGGGTGTGTCTTCTGTTAGGGCCCCCCCCACCCAAAAAAAGGCAATCAAGAAACAAGAAGGTCGATTTCCTTGTGTGCCCTTTAAACGCCACCCAAAAAGGGGTAGTTTCGAACACGTGGGTGGCCCTTTCCGCCTCGCCAGGCGCAGGCGGCGGACAAACTGCTCGCGGCAATGCCACCGCGCGTGGGGACGCCACCGCCCGCGGCGGGCAGTCTGCTCGTCCGCCCCCCTCGGGGCGGTAGCTTGGGCCAAAGCCAACTTTTTGGCTTTTGGGAATCATTCTAGGGGTTGGTTCCCCATTCTTTTCAACCATCATTATTTTCAAAAACCAACTTGGTTTTGTAGAAAGAAGGATGCCTGGAAAGAATGAGAAGGTACCCCTAGAATCCTGCCCTGCACATGTCACACGGAACCCAGCAAAATCCTATTTGAGATGGATCTCCCTTTTGGCGAAATACCAAACTGGCAAAGTTCTGAACTTCTTTCGGGGGTTCGAGCTAGGAATACTCAGCCAAAGGCACAGAAAGCGGCGTTTTGGCCCAGTCAGGCTCGGCGCCGGAAAATTGGAGCAAGGTGCGAGAAAGGAGTGTGCGCGTGATTGCATGTCTGCCATTTCTGTAAGAACCCTTTTGGAGTTGCTGAACCAGACGCCAAATGCAAAGCTCCGATGCTTGAAGTTTCACCACTTGGAGACACACCCCAAAGTCACATCAATAGGTGGAGGTTCTGGTGGGCTTGGGAAGTGCGCAGCCCAAGCCTTTGGCCAGGGCTGATTGTGGGCCAAGCCCAAACCAGAGCCAAGAGAAAAGGACACAGAGACTGGGCTCTGCCGTAGGGTTAGGCAAAACCAATAATTACAAAAACGCCAACCCCTGTTCGAAGCGCCAGACCAAAAAGGGAAGTCCTTTAAACAGCGGTTTGTTCACCCCTTTAAACGATGGTTACAAGAGTGGCCCAACCCTGCATGGCACAAAGGACACCTGGAGGAACACAGGTCAGTATCCTCGCGCTCGGCTCCAGCTTGCAACTAATTTGTGCAGCGTCTGAAAGGGCGAAGAAAGAAAAGTCATACCCATGTGGGGGACCGCAGGTTTCAGTTCTTGTTCCCATTTGCCTGGTCAGATTTTCGGGTGCCTATTTTTGACCCACAGCCATATGGCTCATATGTTTCCGTGAATCGTTTGACGTTGCGAGCGCTACGTGTACTCTGAAGTCTGAGCCCTGGACGCATGTGTCTTGAAATGGGGAACCGGAGTCCCCAAAGGGCTGGCATCAAAGCTGCCCCAACAAAAACTACCCTCCAAAAATGACAAACCCATATACCTGCATAGAGCTGCACCCTGCGCTTGCGCCGCACTCTGGAGGATGGAGGAGTTAAGTTCCACAATTTCTAGGGAGCAGACCAGATATACCTACCGGCATGGCCTGGTACTGGGGCTACATAGCAATCTTTGAGCTGGCTGTGGCTTCTTCAACACGTCAGCAAAGACATGCAAAGACATGTAACGGCCCATACCTATCTCTTGGCAAAACAGTCAACCCCCTTGTGGACAGTTTTAACATAATCCCAAAAAAACGCTAACCACCCAGAGAAGTGTCCCCAATTTTGAGAAATGTGCTCACTTTCAGCAGCTGGAACCATGGCAACAGCTTCTGGATTCCGATTTTCACCATCAATCGGATGGCCCAAAATCCCGCAACAAGTTTGAACTTTTTGCAACCTCAGCCACGAATCACAAGGCAATTGAAAACGGGACCTGAAAAGAGTTGCGTAACACCCCTCTTGTTGGGTGAGAACTGCTGAACAACCGAACCCTTCTGGCAACATGCTGAAGCGCGCGCGGGAGATTGTCAAGCACTGGAAATGGTGCGCCGGGAGTCCTTCGCCGTTTCGGTGCCGTCGCTTTTGGGCCTGAACCAACAAATAGGATTTTAATGGACCTTGGCGTTTCCCCTTAGAATTAACCAGTCCTTGTTTGAAGGGGATTTCAACATCACCTGGTTTGGCCATGTTCAGATCCATCTCCTTTGAGGTGATGTCTGAAAGCCAGCGAGCCGACACCCACAAAGGTTCCTTGGGTATCGGTTTATGTTTTTCCCCCCTTCCTTGGCTCCAGTGGGGTGGTTTCAACCTTTTTTCAACCTTATATTAGAGGGGTGTGGTTTCCTTGTAAGATCAACCAACAAGAAGAGCCGATTCTTTGCGCTTCTTTGTTCTCGATAGACGTCCACAGGTCCAGGTGTTTGCCCAGCTATAAGGACTTGTGTGGTGTGATTTCCTAGGCTTGCACCGGGAGATGCCCCTTAGCCAAGGCGTGCTTTTCCAGATTTGATCTTGCTGCCAGACGCCCAGTGGCGCCCTCTCGCCCTGTTTTGGAGAGGGGCTTCCTTTAAGGACCAAAAAAGGCTGCGCGTTTTTGCCCATGGCCACTGGGTCACTGGGAGGTCCGGGTGGTCATTTGGAGACTTTAGTTTAGTCATTGAATGATGTTGTTGCAGCTCCCAGAGTAGTGTCTAGAGGCTTCAAATTGCCGAGACTATGTTCCAACAACCTGCCTGGCACGTTTGGGAAACATATTCCAGACAATAGAAGGGCCTAAATGTGTAAAAAGGGACTGTGGGGTACTTTAGAACCAAAATTTGTCATGTCGTCATTGCCAGTAAGTTCGGGAGCACAGTCCCACAAGGCAGTCGCCCTCATCGGTTTCGCCACATAGAGCTTGGTCATCCGGATGGCCCGCACATCGCTGGCCAGCTTCCCAAACATGTTCCTGGCCCATGGTTTTCTAACTTTTTGCCAACTATCGGGTTTTCCATTCAACCACTAAAAGGTAGCAGAAAGCAACCAAGTTTTACTGCTAGCTTTCTTACTCTGTCATGGAGAGAGGTTTTGGATGGACACCATCCTGCACCAGTTGGGATGGAGAAACGCCCTACTGGGATATGCCGCCTACCAACTGGTGCAGGACTTTGTCAATCAGTAGGTCCAAAGAGAAACTGACTTTGAGCAATCCGAAAGGTATGATCTGAGAACATGTGAAGCGGATTCGCCCGCAAGCCACGGACGCAGGGCCAATTTGGGGCCAATCACCTGCGCACAGATGTTGAAGCACCTGTTGTTTAACCAACCTCCTGTTGTTCCCTTTTTAGTGGAAACAAGGGTGAATTCAAATGGTTCGCATTTGCTTGACCTTTACACCTGGTTTCCGTGTGCAATTGCTTGCCCACTGCAGATTCTAAAAGGAATGTTCCTTGGTCGCTTCATTGCTTCAGGAACCGACAGGAACCTTCTCTCAACCAGACTTCCCCTAGGTGCTTCATCAGCAGGCTCAGCAGGAGTGAAGTATGATGATTTGTGGCAACCTCTTTCAAGGGTTTGGGCAACTCAACAGCCCGAACTTCTTTGCTAAGAGATTCAATCAACACAGGCCACCCTTCGAGCTGTTTGGCGTGTCCTTAGTTTGACCAGGTCAGAGGGTCGAATGACAAGGTTTGCTTCCGCTACCTCTCATGTCCTTTTTGTCCGGCATCCCATGTCAAAGATTGGTTCAGAAATCCGCTGCTCCACAGCACATGTCCTCACTTCGGTGTTTCAAAGGCGCCAAGCGAGTGCTGTTGTCACGGACCCCAGTTGTTCAGTGGCAGTAGTGCCCTTTTCAATGGGAACTTATGATATCCCATAGTTTATTGATAGTGTGTTGCCCATATATCTGGACATTCAAAACACTTCGGGCAAACACGCCCCTATAAATTCGCTGATTCGGTTCATCAATCCAGGATTGACATTCTCCAGCTGGTTCCGAAATGATCAACCTTGCGTGTTGTTTTGTCCCATGGTGGGGGGTTTCTCATAACAGGGGCTCCCTAAAATGATTGGGTTTTGTTGTGCCCTTCAATCACTACCAACCAAACGGGGTTCGCCATTTTGCCGACGTGGTGACCATTGCGAGGTACCACATCTGCGGGGGCATTGCCACCATGAGTGCCCGGAGCTCAAAGGCAGAAGAGCCAACCTGTCGCCATGGGGGCTATGGGCTGGGGGTGGGCCAAGAGCCCAGGAATAGCCAAGAGCAAACCCTAATGAGGCCTTCTTTAGGGTTTAACAGGGGACAGCCCCCTCCACTTTCCATAGCCCCCAAGGTCCATACTGTTGACCTGAGCATTTGCAATGTTTATTGCTGATTGCTGAGCTGACCCCCAGGTATTTTGATCAAGGGGAGCCCACCGAAAAATGAGAAAGCAGATGCCGGGAGGGTTGTTCATGAGGGGTCGACATTATAGGAATGAGACTCTTGGTAACCAAGAAGCACAAGAGAAGCTTTTGGGAGCTAGATGGGAATGCTATTGCTTGCGACTCGAACTTTGGCGGAGGCTATATTCATCACCTGTCGGGCAATGAAACTGTTCGGATCCCACATTTGATATGGAACAGAATCAGCTGGGAGCCTACAGGGGACTGACAGCCGTCGAGGTTTTTGTCCGTTGATGTTGTCTGGAATCCAGGCTTTTCAGCTTCCTTTTGAGCGTTTGAGGAGCGGTCTAATAGAGTAGACTCAGATGATTTGCTCTGATCGGATTCTCGAGATAGCCAATCACCGTCTGGAAGTGCGAGTGAGCTTCTCTTGTCTGCTTCGTGAGGGTCAAAATTACCCAAATGATATGTTCAAAGAAATCATGCGCGCGACTCAGAACAGATTCAACCCATTTTACCAGAAAGCTGGTGTTGTAGCCTCTTGCCTCTCTTCTACCTTTTTCAGTGGGATGGGTTTACAGAATTGTCAAACAGCTGTGCCTGGTACCTTGTTTTCATGATGAAGGCCCATCGCCTGATTTTGCCGTGAACGGAGCCTGGGCGTGTGTCTACACTCAGCCTTAAGCCTGCCTAGGTCCAAAGGCCAGCCTCCTTCGCATCCGTTTGTCAGCTTTGCCCCTTCGGTGTTCTTACCTATTATTGACTTGGCACACTGTAAACTTTGTCTTGCAAGTCTGCGTGAATCTAAGCCACTAGGTTGGACCACTTCAGGCCAACTCGGCTCGAGGGATGGATAGGGCACCAAGCCTTACCAAACCACCGTCAAACATGCACTGGTTTGGTTTCCCTTGGTTTCGTGCCCCAGGTTTTCACCGACTCGGCCCAAGGTCCTGCAAGTTAGCACTCTGTGGGTCTTATCGCCGCGAGCTGAGAGTTGTTCGCGGTTTGTTGCACTTTGCTCCCAAAAGGTGGTTCCCTTCAAACTCAGCCAGCAACAGATGCCCGTTTTTCGGGCTAGGACAGATCTAGGATTCGAAGGGCTTTGGGCAAAAAAATCCAGCGACTCGCCGATGAGGGGTGTAAGGCGAGCGATTGCGCGAAGTGATGAGTTCCCTTGCCTGAGGAGTGTTAATTCGGGGAGGAACTGCAGCACCCACAAAATGGGTGTCTCAATTGATTCTTGCAAATTTGGACGGCCGCGACATGGCTTTAACAAACAAAAACATGCATGTATGTCAGCAGTTTGAGCACACTCAGTGGAAATGTGTGGACGTCCGAAGCAGTGGGTGTTGAGGAAGTCCTACCATTGGTTCTTCGCCGCGGAGGAGGCCGGGGCCTTAAGCATCTAGGCTGCGAGATAGGTTTAGCGAGTCCTGGACCCTTGAAAAGGGACCTTAACAGGAATTGATTTCACAGCTGGGGTAAAAATGTTCAACAAGAGGTTGGCCCAATCCTGCATTGCAGACCCAGCACTACGGTACTTTTGCAGCGGTATTTTCTCTTGGCAGTTGTTCAGAGCAGAACATGCGGGGTTTGAATGACCTCGCGCGCGTAAGCCCATCAATGCTGGTGCATCGGGATGTGCGCGAGGGTCCAGTTGAGCAGAATGTAGGAAGAAAAGACGGTGGACGTTTGCTTGCCAATTGTGGCGTGGTCTTTCACAATACTGCAGATATATATATATATATATATGGTTGGTGAAGGTACCCTCTTCACGTTTAAAGGGAAGTCAACACCCTTCTCCACCTCAAAAGAAAGAGCAAAATGAGAGAAAGGTCTGAGAGCCCTTCTGAGAGCCCTTCTGAGAGCCCTTCTGAGAGAAAGGTCTGAGAGCCCTTCTAAGAGCTCCTTTAAGGTTCCTACCAAACCTTTGGAGGGCGGCAGCGATTGCCAAATCCAGGGCCTTTGAATTGAAGTCAACTCCGGGGCATGTTGCCGGTGTGCAGGCGCACGGTGATAGGGGGAGTTCTTCAAATAGAGACAGACGCAATATGACAGACGGTCGTGATAACCGGTACCGAAGGCTTTGCAGGGGCGTCTCCCTTGTCCCAGAAGGCATCACCTGTGTCCCTCGACAAACCATGAGGTCAAATTAGATTCCTTTTAGGAATCTAGCCATGAGGAATTTGGCCCAACCACAGGGTTCAAGCTGCTTATTAGGGTACCGCGTGATTGGCTTGGACATCTCATGGAGCCCGGAGCCGGAGGAACCAAAACCGTGGTCCCTCTCGGAGTTTTGAGCCGCCAGGAGAAGCAGCGTCGGTTCCTGGAGCGCTATGGGCGGCCCACAGAGGCACAGCGCCAGGAGGCGCCAAGTCGGGTTCGCCGTCCATTGGAATGGCCGATTCGCTCAGGGAACCCGGTGGTTTCAGTGGCTCACTTCACGACATAATTACACTGAAAGACAACGGGGAAATAAGCTGCAGTTGTGTTTCTCCTAAGAGGAAAGCAACAGGGGCTGAGCAGTTGTGGATCTTTTGTCCCATACTCACTCTTTGTTTGACACCCGCCGGTTGGTAAACAGGTCCTTCAAGCCCAAACTTGTGGGTTTCCAATTTTGAACAGGCCGCAAAGGCGTTGAAGTCCTACCATGCCTTTCGCGGAACTGAGTACCTGTTGGCACTGATGGTTTGGTCTAGGAAGGTAAGAAGGGAGTAACGCGTTGCTTGGGTTTTTGAGGGACTCCTCTGTGTGGGTTGGATCCGGATAGGTTGCTCAATTGATTGTGTTAGTTGGACAACCGGAATTTGTGTGTTCGGTTGGTTTTTAAGGGTGGAGCTTTATTGCCATGCTTGAACAAGCGCCTAGCAGGGCTCAGGGGTGCTTCCCTGGCAATCATGCCTTTCTGGGGCTTTGCGCCCTGGCCCCACGGTTTCCTGAAGGTGTTTCGTCTTTTTGACTCTGCTGATCGCCTTGGGTGGCCAGCCAATGCCGTTCGGAACCTCCGGCTTGATATGTGGCCGTTGCATCTGCCATTTCGTCTCCAAGGATAAGCGATTGACAACTTTCTTTCAGGACAGGAATGCTCAGCATGGATGCACCTTGCAGAGATGACAAAGGAGTGACGTGAACAAGCGACAAATGTCATCGTGTACATTGCATCTTTGTTTCTGCGTGTGTGCGTGCGTACTCGCTCTTTATTTGTTTGTTTGCTTGATTGCTTGCTTGTTTGCTCGGTCAAATGGTTGCCTTCATGACGATCTCCCTTTCCGGTGATTCCAAAACAGGGTTCAAGTGGTTGCAAGGAAATGAACCAAGGGCTTCATCTGGTTTTGCAGTTGGACCCATGTGCAGGTATCGAAAATTACGGGAGCCAACATTCAAAGCCCTTTTGTGTCCCTTATCAGCATGCAACGATTTCAACCCCGGCTCTTAAACAGCCAGACCCGGCCCTCTTAGGGAAATGGAAAGGAGTTGTTTGCTCAAAGTGAGATCGCCATGTCAGTGTCTTGCCCTTGCCTATCCACAACGCGATCCCATTCCTAGGACTAAGGAGAGGCATTAGGGCCCTTCTACCCCACCCCGCAAAACGTTCTTAGACCTCTTCCAAGAATCCCTAAGAAGGTGCATTCAGGACATTTTCTTGTTGTGTCCTGGTCTTACTGGGAATACTTCAGATGTTGTTGGCCGCTTAAAGCGAACAGCTTGCCAGGTTTTCAACTTAGGGGGGTCCATTTAAACTACGATTCCGAGGGTAGCTTTGGAGATGTTTCTTGGAGGGATGGGCTCTTTATTGGGCTACGCGTGAGTCACTGGGTTTCAGGCCTTTTGGCGGTCGCCGAAGTCTGGAACCGCGTCACCCAGCCACTGCCAAACAGTCCTTGGAGTTGTTCTCCGCGCACCCCGGATTTCCGTTCCTCGCGCCACACAAAGTGCACACCTCCAAAGCACCAGTGAGCTCGGGTAGTTTTGAGGATGTGACTTGAATCAGAATCCCTTTGTGTTCCCGAGGCATATACCTCACAGAAGGTTGCAACATAGACCCCACCAGACCACCAATATGTGTCTGTTGGGGGGGGACTTTCCCCTAACCACCGGATGCTTGTTCTTTCATTGGATTAGCGCTGGTCAAGCATGTGCGAGGAGTTGACCTTTCGTTTTTGCCCCCTGAATTGCAATCCTTGACTTGCTGGTGCTCAGGGAATGTGGGAATGAACCCAGCGGTCCCCTTACAGGAAAAAACCACCAGGGATGGTTTACAAGGGTCACTCCCTCATTCCCTGCCTATCGCACCAGCAAGTTCTTTGTACCATTTTTCTCTACTGCTTCTTGTTTCGGAAGCCCAGGTTTCCCAGGTGCCCTATCACCCATATATACATATTGTTGTCTCCCTGTTCTAGAAAAAGAACCACAACCACATATATGTATTGTTTTTTGTTTTAGACAAGAAACAACAACATACTATTATGCTGGTTTTTGTGTACCGCAGATTTCCGCCCAAGGGATGTTTTCAGAGGCCTACAGCTGGATGGCCCCGGACTACGACCAGGGCGTGGGCTTGCTGGAGAGCGGCGTGGCGGACAAGTTCCGGCAGGAGGTCTTCCAAGGCGAAAACGCGACGCCGACACGTCGGGCCGGCTGGGCCGTCGGTTGAGTTGGCCATGGGCTTTTCAAAAGCCAAAGCCCGTACCAACATCCCAATCCCCACTATAGACTAAAATGAGTGGTGAATTCACCTACCCCAAAATCGGATCCCATTGGTTTTGACCCACAGCCAGCTGACAAACAGTTGTTGTTTCTTTCTTTGAAGCTGTTTTGTTCACTGCCAATGCCGAAAAGCTGAATCCTTCTCCAACCCAGCTCAGGCCTCCAGCCCACAGAGGGACCTGGGCCTGGCTTCGTCTTAGACCTCTAGACCTCAGCTTCCTGTCCCATGCGATGGTTTGCTTGAGGCGGCAAATGGAAGGACGCGCCATAATTTCTGAGGTGGTACCTTCTGAGCAGATTTACAACTGCGAGGGTTGCAACATGAACTCAACTTGGGGTCCTTTCGGATCTGCATTCTCTTCGGGAGGTCCCAAACTGCAACGTCTTTGCATTACAACCGAGGCTCGACCTCCTTCCTGCAGCACGGTTCGATAATTTGTTACTATATGTAGACATACATATATATATATACCTGGAGCCTCAATCGGCAAGAGTTTGTTTGTAGTTTTCCCCTTTGACTATATAGACTATAAACTACATAAACATCTGGAAACGCTGAAAATGACTAAAACGACAAGAAATGACAGAAAGCAGCGGGATTGGGCCGTACAAGTAGGCAATGCAACTTTGAGACACATGTAGCACTGGTGCAGCCACCGCTGGGATTCAAGGCAGCTTGAGGAGCATGTCATCATTCACGGTGATGCCAAGTGATACCGCCCGAGCTCACGACGCCTTTCACATCCTTTTACCAGCAAATTGAAGCGCAATGGCTCCGATTTGGTGTTGTCGTTCTAGTTCAGTTCACCTGCTTCAGCTGACACCCGCCTTCATTCCTGATTGCCCAGTTTGGGCTCAAGTAGTGCAAGTTTGGAAGCTTTTGGGGGCGGCCCCGGTGATTTTCGAAATTTTGCTCCGTGCGCGCTTGCAAGCGCTTGTGCGCAACGCGACTGGGACAAAGACCCAGTGAGTGCTGGCACTGGTTCTCTGTGGTGCTTGTGAGTGTGCGCGAGCTTGCGGCGTCGAGGTGGGACCAGGGCACAGGGACCCGTTTATCACAATCACACCAAAGGAAAGCTTCGTTGTCTACGTGTATATATGTTTGGCGAAAGCTCCGCGACGCAAACGCATGGTTTTCACCAAAAGCGACGCATTTCCATCGGAAACGCCTAATTCGCCAAAGAAATCGGGAAAACTCCTAAGAAACACATTTGCCAAGAAATTTGTTGCTGTTTGAGGGTCAAGGTGCATATATATATATATATATATAATATATATATATATATGGTCAGGCCCCCCCATGAACTGAACTACATCTCCTTCTTTCTTCATTTCAGATATATACATATAATTATATATATATATATATTTGGGGGGGGGAACCGACCTCTTGATGTCCTTCAAAACGACCACCCGCCAACCCTAGTCCCCACAGGCCATCATTTCTTGCCCGCTTCGCAGGTGCCAGCGGCGAGGTGCTCGAGGTGGCGGCCGGAGCCTCTGATTTCGAGGTTCGGCGCCGTGGTTTTTCTCTTCAGAGGAAGCCGTGGCCGCCAAAAGGCGTGGGGCCCACGTGGGTTTAAAAGGTGCTGTTTCGAAATGAAAGGTGTTGGCCCCGGGTGAAAAACAGGTGCGGTTTCGAAATGAATGATCTCAAGTCTTGTAGGAGACGGGGGCCAAACATTGTCACAATGACGCAGATTAAATTATGTGTCCTAGAACAGTTTTGCCCTCAGTCCCCGAGCTCTTTCAAACACGGCCTTATTGGGGCCTTTTTTTTGGGAGGGAAACAGGGAAACAGACGGAAGGCTGGGAGTAGAGGGGTTTTGGAGTTCTACGAAAGGGGGGGGCGCCAATCAAGATGGTCCTCGATGTTCCGGGGGATGTATTTCCAAATAAGCCAACTTGCTGTTCTTGTGACACGTGGTTTTAACCAACACCGAAACTCAGGGTACTTTTTGGCCATTTCTTTTGGATTAGTGGCCCTTGCTTTTAACGGCTGAGGCCGGCTTTCGCCTTCTCTTTTTATTTCTCTCCTGAGAAAGCAAAGCACAAGAAAGGTGAAATTCAACGTTGAAACGCTTGTGTTGGGTGTATTATTCAGACACATACAAAGCAGGCGAAACTGAACGGAAATGGAAGATCCGGGATGTTTAAAACTACCAGGGGGTGGGGAGGATCATGAAGCCCTTCTCACACATCCAGTGTCGGCTTTCAACTTTTGCTTGTGGGTGTCACTACAACTTTGGGCTTCCGCAAAGGGTGGTGTCCATTTGGTGTCCTTCAAACCAAGCAGATTACCCTGAAAGACATAATTACCCAAATGGGTGGCGGGAGAAACCACTAGTATTGGTTCAGAGTTGGCCTATTCTAATCCAGTAATGAGCCCGTTGGGATTTTGCAAAAGCGGTTGTTTTATTATTGGGGGCACCTTTTGTTGTTCGGAGGAAGAGATGACCCCTACGCCCGTTGTATACTTGTACCTAGTAACGTAGTTACTCGATACGTTACTGGAATCTTTATCCCTGAATCGGCCTGTGCACAGGTCGGAACCGGGCGCTGCTTCTCAGTCCTCGATGCCGCAGAGGCGACAGTTGGTCAAGCGCTAGCGTCATGAAAGTGGATCCGCGAGGGCTGTTCATGTTTTCACTGGGGGTGGAAGCTCTGCTAAGCCGCAATTTAGAGAATAGTCTTGAGGATTCACATTCATAAAGCCGGCATTGGCAATTTTGGGAAGGGACGCTACTTCCCTTGATGGCTTTCATGGATCTGGCAGGGCCTCTAGGACCTTCTAAAATCGCTTTGAAAGTCACGTCGTCTTGAGTGCTGCTCCCACTTGCACAAGCTATTCTCGCACGGACTTGTTGTGGAGGGGACTCGTTTCTTCGAAGCGGTGTATCAGATTTCTGTCTGTTTTATGGCGAGCTCACTCACCTGTGGTAAAATGAGCGCGCCGTGCTGTGGGTCTTTCACTTGGGGAGTGCTAACCCTGGCGCCTGAACCAACCTGGAATCTCAAAACCAAGCCTACACTCGTTTGTCCCCAAACCAACCTTCCGAAACCCATGATTTCAACCCTCAACTCCAAACTATCTGGGTTAGGTGGACCATCTTTTGGCGCAGGCTTCGTTCTCAGAAAGACCTCTTGATCTTTCCGGAGAACCCGTTGCCAAGCTCTTGGGGAATAGCAAAAACCGGAAACACGTTCTTTTCGAGTTGACACCCGCGAAACGACCTCCACGCGATTGATCTTGCAACGTGCCCATATGGTTATGCCCGTTGACTGGGACTTGAGGCATGGTCACCCAAAACCACCCCCTAGGGCACAGGTTCATAAAACGAGGAGATGGTTGCCAGGGTGTTTTCTTATTTGGCTGAAAATGGAACATGGCACTTGAGCTTGTGCTGCCAAGTTGTTCCCTGCGTGATGGGGGCTCCTTCGCATTGTTGCGACCGTAGCAAAATGTCAGCAGGTTGATTGACTTGCATGGGAAGTGTTAACCATGTCGGTTTGCATCAAGCCACCAGTTTCGTGTCCACGGCAACAGCGCATTTTTCAACGCGAGCCCTGTACAAAGTGCCGCACTAGGGTCTTTGTTTGCATGCCTTCAGTAACATGCAAACACGAGCCACTTCCAAGTTGCAAGTTGTGTCCAACGAGTTTGGGCATTGCGCTCTCAGTGTAGTCATCCTCGCCGAGTTTGACAATCAAAGAGGTAGAAGAACTTCTCAGCTTCCATTGGTGATGTTTGCAATATTGGCTACAGAGTTGGATCACTCCGCTGCATCACAAGTTTTCGAGATACGCTGCACACGCTATGGTTCGAACATGTTGCACTAGGCAGGTGTTGTGATCGAGGTGGTTTGTGCACGTCTGACAGGACCTTTTTTTTAATGGCCTTGCTTGTGATGTTTCAGGAATTCCGTGGTTCTCGTATTCTTATAGTTTCATCTTAAATACATATAAGCAGTTCCGGGCAGGATCGAATGTCAGACCCCGATGGAATGAAACCAAAGGTGCGGTCCGTCCGAAAGGACCTGGCCAGACTCCAACCCACGTCCTGTGCGCTTGAGCTTGCGCAGGTGACGAAATACGTCGGAGTGGACGTGAATGAGGCTGGTTGCATTCGAGATCTCGAGTTCTCGGTGTGCGAAAGGCAAAACATATAGACATGTTCGCACAAGAGGTGGTAACGTCAGGTATATCGAATGAGGGGGAAAGCTGGCTCATGGAGTCTCCTGGCTATAACAAACTGAAAAGAGCTTTGCGCGCAGAGGACATCAAACAGCAAGCTGAGTGCATGCCTGAGAGAGAGACGAGCGTTATTTCTGTGGTGTGCTGGAGCATCAGCAATTTTCAACCATCTTGGCTCGTTGTCTTGGCTGCACCTCGAAAACGGGGGCAGAACAATGGGTGACATGTTCAACAGCCGACTGCTCTGGACGAGTCAATTGAACATCAGATATCAACAGCATGTGCATGACCTGGCCAGACTCATTTCGAAAAGTAATTCAAAGCCACTGCAGCGGAGCCCTCATAGTGGCCAATAGTGACTATTCAAAGGCCTATGATCTATGGCGTTTCTTGCTATGGCTCTGATTGCAGTATAAGATTACGATGTGATCTCTGCAATTTCGTTGCAAGGCAAAGGCCTCACCTATTTGGGTACGTTTCAAAGTAGGAGACTCCCCAAAATGATGGCTTGTTCAGTTTGAACCAACGAAAACAGGTCACCCTCAACAGACATACATGCCCATGCGTTTCACCTATCGGTGCGTTTGAGCAAAGGTTCCTATCTTCTCCCCATCCTCAGTTGGAGAGAAGGTCGTTTCCACGTGCGAAGTCCGGGATGAAGTTGGGGGGGATTGTGACCTGAAACATGATAACAATTACTTTCCTGGGGGTCCATGTTGTGTGTTTGTTCTTTTCAGGACTGATACTGATGTCTAATTCTTGGAGGTAGCGGACCAATAGAGAAGGTTCCTTTGCAGATTCCTTATTTCCAGCTAGAGTTCCTGAAACATGACATCAGGGGCCCTGGAACATGCTAATCAGGGAACCCCTACCAAGTTCCAAGTCCGGGGGAGAGCAACCCTGGTTGGCGAATTGCGGCACATGTTTCACAGAATCTTTTGCGCTTTCTCATGGTCGCCAAAGCAAGATCAAGAGAATCCCTGGCTTGTTGCTCTTTCTTGTTGCCAAGGCGCCAACAGTTTGAGTTTGTCTCAGAGCAGGGAACCCTTGACATGGGTTGTTCGGTCGTTCCCCTGTGGTCCCCCTTTGAAACCATCCAGAAAGGATACCCTCAAACAAAGACACAGCTGGTTGAACAAAATGTCAGGCGATGCTGACGGAAGTGCGGAAGAAGCTTCCAGAGAGGCCCTTCAAGGCTGAGGTCGCTGGGGTGCCCAATGGGAGGAGACCTCGAACAGACAGATTCCCATGGTACAACAAAGCCAAGGGGAACCGCCTCATTTGTGGTTTCTTCAAACCCACCAAAGACGGAGTACCCTTGGAAAAAGACAGGCCCATATTTTCCAACGGTACTTCACACCCAAGACCATATGAAGCATCACCTTTTGCCAACGTTCAAGGAGTTTCGAACAAGCATGACCGCAATCTGCTTTATGATGGTTCTGACATTCCGAAGCTGTAAGGGTCCAACTTCGGATCTGAAGCCGCAAATTTCGCAAGTGGTTTCAGAAGAATGAAAGGATTGCTTTCTCCATTTGGAAGTGCTCCTCATTTGAAAGGCCTGGCACGCAGGTCGAGGACCCTTGAGCTCTGGTAGCAACCTGACCTGGGCCCCCCTGAGGCAAAGCAACAAGAGGTTGTGTCAAATAGTCCCGGCGGATTCCGCCCAAGTCCCTCTTGAATTCGGGTCTCAAGCCCGAAGAGCGCTCCCATTTCTACCAGGTTACCCAAACAAGCTCACCTTTTGGGTGTATTTCAAGTTCAACCCTTTCATGGGTAAACCACAGTAGCTGTAGATGTTTGGAATCGGCCAAATCCATGCTCAAGCCATTTCGCCTGTCTTTTAGGGGCTGAGCCTTTTGGACCTTGGGCATGCACTTGTTATAAACCTAAGATGGGGGGTTATTGGTGTCCTTTTGCTCCTTTAAGCCAAATGAATTTTGGTTTAGGAAGCAGCCATGCAGCTCGGCTAGCCGGTTGGCAGTGCTGATGGAAGTAGGCTACAGGCTGGGAGGAAAGTCTACTTCGCGACTTGGGCTTGAACACCAACCTCACCGCCCATTGACATGTTCAACGAGTCCTTGCCAGTGGAGAGACGCACGAGCCTTCAAGATGGATCGCCAAATTCAGATGCTGCCTCGACCTTGCGTAAGTCGAGCACAAGCGTGCTTTGGCTGCGCGCACGCAGTTGCCAATGACTTGCGCTTGCCCAACGAAATGATATTAAGTCGGTCCGCTTTGGCACAGTTTCCAAGCTACTCATGCCAGTACAAATTCCGGGATGGACCCGTGGCTCTACATGAAGTCTCCAGCGTTCCCCAAGTCTCCAGCGTTCTCCAGCACTCTTGCAACATGCGTTCATGAGCCCAAAATCATGGGTACAAGATCCAACTTTGTGAGGGCTTGTGAGGGCTGGAGACTCCAGGTCCATGACATATGGCTTGGCTCTTCCAGCACTGGCAAAGGCGAACCTTCAGATGTGATGTCAGCGTCCCTCTGCAAACGCGAAATCCTAGCCACAAGCATCGATTTTCACTCGTCAGAGCAGGTTCACTTGGGGGTAAAACGGGCCCGCCCAGGATGAAGGCCCTTTGCTAGTACCTAGTGCAGATTGATGGTCAACCAGATTGATGGCCCCTGAAAATTGATGTCAAAGGGTCTTAATCGATACCTGCTTGGAAGGGAACCCTTCTGGGTAAGCAGCCCCTTAAAGTTGATGTCAAAGGGTCTTAAACGATACCTGTTTGGAAGGGATCCCTTCTGGGTAGGCAGCCCCTGAAAATTGATGTCAAAGGGTCTTAATCGATACCTGCTTGGAAGGGAACCCTTCTGGGTAAGCAGCCCCTTAAAGTTGATGTCAAAGGGTCTTAAACGATACCTGTTTGGAAGGGATCCCTTCTGGGTAGGCAGCCCCTGAAAATTGATGTCAAAGGGTCTTAATCGATACCTGCTTGGAAGGGAACCCTTCTGGGTAAGCAGCCCCTTAAAGTTGATGTCAAAGGGTCTTAAACGATACCTGTTTGGAAGGGCTCCCTTCTGGGTAGGCAGCCCCTGAAAATTGATGTCAAAGGGTCTTAATCGATACCTGCTTGGAAGGGAACCCTTCTGGGTCAGCAGCCCCTTAAAGTTGATGTCAAAGGGTCTTAAACGATACCTGTTTGGAAGGGATCCCTTCTGGGTAGGCAGCCCCTGAAAATTGATGTCAAAGGGTCTTAATCGATACCTGCTTGGAAGGGAACCCTTCTGGGTCAGCAGCCCCTTAAAGTTGATGTCAAAGGGTCTTAAACGATACCTGTTTGGAAGGGATCCCTTCTGGGTAGGCAGCCCCTGAAAATTGATGTCAAAGGGTTTAATCGATACCTGCTTGGAAGGGAACCCTTCTGGGTCAGCAGCCCCTTAAAGTTGATGTCAAAGGGTCTTAAACGATACCTGTTTGGAAGGGATCCCTTCTGGGTAGGCAGCCCCTTAAAGTTGATGTCAAAGGGTCTTAAACGATACCTGTTTGGAAGGGATCCCTTCTGGGTAGGCAGCCCCTGAAAATTGATGTCAAAGGGTCTTAATCGATACCTGCTTGGAAGGGAACCCTTCTGGGTAAGCAGCCCCTTAAAGTTGATGTCAAAGTAGATACTACCACTACCGCTACTTCCCCCTAAGACTTCTGCTCTACCACCGCCTCCGCCACGAGGGGGCCTTTGAGGTCAGAGCGAGTGGCGAGCGTTTGCCCTTCGAGGACGGCTCCTTCGATACCGTGATAGGCCCGCGAAGTGGAGGGAGCCGAGCCGATGAGTTGGAGGACATCACCGCCCAGCAACTCCAGCAGCCAGTTTTGACATTCGGGCGTGTCTCAAGATGGTCGTGGGAAACAGCCGCAGGCAGGAAATTCTGCAAATTGGCCAAATGCCCACCAATACCGAGTTTCCTGTAGAAATTTCTGCGGCGGGTTTCTTGGAAATAGAGGGCTTCCAAGTTTGATGGCTTTCCCCCTCGGTTTGATTAGATCACCTCAAGAAACTTGCAACCCTAAAAGAAGGCAACCCCATATGATGGTCAACAGAACTGTTTGCTTGGGTAGGGTCGGTCATGGACGCCTTGATGGAAACTCTAGACAATCATGAAAAGGACCTCGGATTGAGGGAACCAATGCCCTGACCCTCATGAGAACATTTGACCCACACAGGGAACCATGAGCATGAGCAACTGGCAACACGTTTGGTAGTCTACCGTTGGTTTGGGGGAAACAGGGGGGACAACCCAAATGTTCCACACAAGCCTTGGGCAGCACATTGTCCCATGTCATTTTGGGAACAAAGAGAATTGTCAATGGGCGTGCTATTGTTGAATGCCTGCTTAAGTCTGATATGTGGTTCCTGCTGATGGCAAGTGGGAGCCAAGCAGTAGCTTCATTGTTTGCTTTAGTGCAATCAGTGTTATGTTGTGTTATGTCGGGCTTGGTTTAAGCCTACCTTGGGTTAATCGTTCGGGCATTTGGGGCGCTGGGTGACAAGGGTGCATGGGCTCGATCTTGACAAGGTGTCTGTTTGGGATTGCCTGGAGTCTCCAGACTCCCAGTGTGTTGCAAGCCCATTTTTCGACTGTTTTTTAGGGGAGAGGGGGTGGCCCATCAAAAAAGGGTGCCCGTTTCGTTCCCATGCCCACTTTACAAAAAAGGCCTTCATGCCCCTTTGAAAAAGATACGTGCCCATACCATGTGTTGATAGTCAGAAGGAGACTCAGGAACCGTGTAACGAGCCCACTTCGAAGAGTGTTTCCAAGTCCCACCGGGCGCTGCCACTTGGAAAGAGCCTGGACTGTTCTCACGAACAAATCCATCGGAAGTTCAGCTGGGCCTTTTGGAAGACAAGCCTGTTGGTTTGGAACGGGGTACAGGGGCAAAAAGTCGCTGGAACAGGGTTGTGGTCTACTATTACCATATATCACCATATTTCGTCCGCACAAGAGAATAGTGTGATGAATTACTTCGCCCCTGGCTGGTCTTTGTGCCCAAATCGCCCCGACCTTTTGGAAAAGCCAACGGCTGTGACGGGCCTCGTTGGGATGGCCCAACGGCAGGCTCCCTGTGCCTTTGCGCCCTGGAGAATCCGGCCAAGGCCTTCGGCGTCCGAGTGTCTCGCGCCAGACGTGCGGGGGTTGGACCGGATGGGACAAGTCCCGGGGAGAAAAACAAACACATCGTACGTGTTTGATTTAGATGTGGAAACACCATGAATCCTAGGCTGAAGGTTTGTTTCTTATCATCTTAGCTCGATAAGAGCGCTGGAAGAAAGGATAAGCAACTCCTGGGTGTAGGGTTGAACATTGACCAAGCAAAATGAGGTCTGTTTGGTATGATTGTGGTGTCAGAACATACCACGGACAGACTGACGTATCCACCGTTGATCCATGAGTCCGGGGTTGATGAATTGGAAACTTGGAGAGCAGATTAGGTGCCTTACTTGTCCGTGACTTGACTCAGACGGAGGTTTTGGAGACTCCCTGTTGTTCCTAGTTCCTACTATATTGACTCGTTGCAGCGTGGAAACCCAAGTGGTTTTGAGTCTCAGGTCTTTTCGGTATTTGTCACCTACGGATTTCTACTGTTTGACTTGATGACTTAATGGAGCTGTCTTCCGTTTCGCGCTTTGGCTCTGGGAGAACTATGGCGTTTTCTGGCCAAGATCTTGAGAAGATGTCATGACGGACACGTCTACGAGTGCACACGCAGGGTGCTTATGAATACCCGTCCAATGTGGCTATGAACTTTAATTGGGAACCGTCTCATAATTGGTTGGTGGGCATGAATTCCCACCTAATCGATGTCCACAAAAGAAAAGGCTTGGCGTTGTTACAAGCTTAATGCATCTCCACCCCTTAAAGATAACATTTGGGGACCAGGCAAGCTTAGGTCTTCTCCAACTGCATTGATACTAGCCTCAAACGAGCACGGATTAACTTGACGCCCTTTTCCAGGGACACAACAGCCTTCGCCAGCCACGTTTGCTTCCACTAGCAGATGCGGACTTCAGATTGTGTTTGTGTTTGAGCAAGTGCGTGTGTGTGTGTGTGTGTGTGTGTGTGTGTGTGTGTGTGTGTGTGTGTGTGTGTGTGTGTGTGTGTGTGTGTGTGTGTGTGTGTGTGTGTGTGCACCGGACGATATCATGCACAAGGAGTACGACGAGCAACGTGACTGCATCCTCTCTCGGGAGGCGTAACCAAAGTGTGTGTTTGTTTGTTTGTTTGTTTGTTTGTTTTGTTTGTTTTGTTTTGTTTGTTTGTTTGTTTGTTTTGTTTGTTTGTTTGTTTGTTTGTTTGTTTGTTTGTGTGTTTGTTTATGTGTTTGTTTCTTTCTTTCTTTCTTTCTTTCTTTCTTTCTTTCTTTCTTTCTTCTTGCTTTCTTTCTTTCTTTCTTTGTTTGTTTGTTTGTTTGTTTGTTTGTGTGTTTGTGCTTGTGTGTTTGTGTTTCTGAGTGCCAGCCTGGCTTCCTCTCTCGCCATATCTGTTCTTATACGGCCTTATTTTTTTCTCGCAATGCGCCAAACCACATTCGCTGTGAAGGTTTCGGCGGGGGGGTGCCGAGGCCAAGGGTTCGTGGAATGCGAGGATTCCCACGCCGTGTGGCATGAGTCAGCCTAGCCAGGGAACGGCTCAGTTTAGTGAGCAGCTGGCAATACCACCAGAAACCAATAGGCAGAACCCCCAAACCGGTACGATCCGGTGCCATCTGGTGCCTGTTCGCCTGCAACAGTGATAGCCATACAAAACAATACACTAGTACCATTGGTAGTGACTCATGTGCCGTTGATTGACATGCGATGCCGGATATTTGTTCAATTTGTTTAAGGCTCTTGCTTCTCCAACTGCCTTGTTTGAAACGGGTCAGGCTGCACCCAATGCGCAGCACCTGTCGGTTTTAGCATTGGGGGGCTGCAGTGCAGGATTGCAGAAGCAACAACACTAATTAAGTGAGTTGCCCGAAAAGAAAAGACTAACCTGGAGGGACTGTTCCTTCAAGTGCCCATCCTTTGAGCAATCGAGCATGTATCAAGAGTGCTTGAACTCCAAACAATTGCACTTTCATGTTAGCTTCACCCATGCGAACGCACCTTTCTGTATGCCGCAACATGACATCAAGCAAAGAGTTTCTCAAATCCACGGCCTAAGCAGCATAGGGAAGAGGGCATACCCCAACAAAGGACCTTTCCCCATACAGTATGCGTTTGTGGCTACAAGGCACGTCATGTTTGGAGGGGGACCAAAAAACGTTTGCCAGTTCCTCTTGATTATTGCAACATTGCAGGGCCTCGAGGAGATGGTGAGGGTTTGCAAGCCGCAGGGCAAGGCGGGGTTTGCGCTTCATGCTTCAGACGTGCGAACGTGTACAAACTGAGGGGGCCCTCTTTGGTCTTCAAACCATACTGTGGATGGACAAGATCCTGCACCACTTTGAAACCACGCGAAGCCATGCGAAACAAAAATGTTGGTCGGTATTTACAGGGGAATCATCCTTGCAGGGTTTCTTGGGTGGTGCAGGATTTCGTCCGTCCACAGTAGCGTTCCTTGTGATTACGTGCCCTTTAAACATCACCCAACCAAAATGAGACTCATTTTAACCATTGTCTATACATTGAATGTTCAAACTGCCCAACAAGTGGAGCATAGGTTCCCAGAGCCAATCGACAAACATCACGAGAAATCCATCCATTTTTGTTCAGGCTTCTCCAGGAAGCCTTGTTGTTGCTGGCTTCAAAGCACATCTTTCAAAAACGGCAGTATCTTCCGCATGACATTTCAGATTTTGTCGATTTCAAAGCTCATTTTGAAAGAGGGACAGATGTCACATTCGTTCCACATACTTCTCTTGTTTCTAAATGTCAGCAAGCAAGCAATCTACAAAACCTTCCGAACTTGTGAGAATCTATCAACAAATAGCCAACGCATGTTCGGTCTTGGCAGGGCGTTGCTTATGCTTTGCTCTGGAGTGCCACCAGCAAGAGAGCAGCCCCCAACACCTCCTTTGGCCGTGCTAGTTGGTAGCTGTTTCAGTAGTGCCAAAGCAGTATACGGAATGTGTTCTTTTTGAGTGGGTTATATGTTCCGTGAGTTTGAAGGGACGTCAAAAAGGAGACCCCGTAATATTGAGGTCCCCACCTTTTTGACGCATATCCATTTAGTATTGGTAGGGCAAGTCTATTCGTTTTGGGTGCTCAGGTGTTGCTGCTTGAGACGGGCGTGGCCTACTTGACGGTGGCCCGCTGGGGGCAAAGGCGGCGAATGCCAACCGCGCCCAGCTTTTGAGCCCTTTGAAGTGGGCTCCCGCCATAGTTTGAGTAGTTTTCAATTTGTTGGGTTGGGGAAAGCTTTGAACAACCACATTTCTGTTGCAATACTAGGTCCCCCAGTAATGCCCTTTGACCGTTTCTTTTTTTGGGGAGGGTTCCCCTACTAAAATAGACTACAGAAAACAAATCGGGTTCTAACCTCTCTACTGGAGGACCTGGAATAGTATGAGAGAGAAGTGGGGACATCCAGTGGTTTCCCAGAAAAACCAACCCCAAAAACGGCTCTCTCAAACAACGCACACACACACACAAGTAGTCTGACTTGCCCAACGCCCAGCTTTTGATGTGTCAGTAAGGGTCCGGGACCTGCGAAAGCGCGCGGGTTTGATTCGATGTGACATATGTCCAGAATCTTCCCAGGAATTAGCCTTGCACCATTTTCATATGTTGCTCACAGACTTCTCGCAGGAGGTGGTGTTCGTCTTTGCTGCACTCTGGTCCTATTCTTTGGTTCAATGATTGTACAGTTTGCACGGGGCCAAAGACCAGGCCAGCAATAGGAGCCCTGTTTTCCGGGTCGACGGGCACATTCTGTAAACCTTGCTCCAAGCCCCCGATCCTGCAATTATAGTATATACGTCTTACTCCTTTCTCGCCATCAATCGAAGTGCGTTTTCTAAGACCCCATCCTTCCCATCAGATTCAGTATAAATACTTTCCTCGCTCCCCTCCGCTCCCCTCCGCTCCCCTCCCATGTCCACTTTGGTGTTTTACTTGGGGCTTCGCTCTGTTTTGAGGGCACCTCTTTGAAGCCAAAGGCAAACCACCCTTTGGAGAGTTCCGTCAAAAAAGAGGCAAACCCTCGTGGATTTCTCTCCCCCCTTCCCCCCCTCTCCCTCCTTCACAAAGCACGCAGGCACCTGGGCCTTGTGCCCAACCCCACCCACGAATGGGAGTTCGGGTACCGGGCGCGGGCCTTGGCCGGTGTCTGGTTTTCCTTTGGGCTTCCCGTTCTTGAAATCCCGAAGAACGGGGGTGCCCGCAAAAATGGACAAACATATAGGTGTCCTTTTTGGTTGATTTGGATTGAAAATAGAGGGCCCTGGTTTACCTGGTGATTCAATCAACTACCAGAACCGTCTATTTTCCCAAAAAGGACACCCATGTGGGGAAACCTAAATGGCAACGGTGTTCCTTTGGTTCAACGTCTTTTTATTTGGGTCCTGAAGCACCTATTTGGGTTGCTTGAAACTGGCCATTGAGGTTTATCCGTCTCATGGCAGTGCAGGATAACAGTCCACAAATGGGGATTCGAGAGGAGCTTCAAAACTTTAGACGGGCGTGGTGCGATCCAACATGCGTGCGTGTGCGTGTCTGTGTTTGAGGGCTACCCTTCACCTTGGTTTGAAGGGACACCACAAGGACAACTACCATTTTGTGCGGGCGCCTATTTGGCACATACCCATTGCTGAGAAGAGGATAACCAACGCGATGTCTCCCAAAATGGTATGTCCTGTTCCTTTGTTTTTCCTTTGTGTACAACCACTGCAAAAGGGCTACCCTCAACAAAAGGCGCTCCCATGCTTGTTGTCAACACATCCCTTGTCAACATGATCAACAATTGACCGGACGTTGAACAGATTGGCTGGTCCTGCTCTAAATCCTTCAAGAGGAACATGCCCAGCCGGAATCTTGAAGTGGAAGTAACAGAGACACCACAAAACTCTAGTTGCAAAACTGGTGCTCGCGATTGGCGTTAATTTCACATTTGGCCAAGTCATTCAGTCGTGAGTTGAAGTCCCTGTTCTTGGCTCGTTTGCTGCTTAGGATGATCTGGATATCCTGGAACTGCTGGAGGCCTGCAGTGGACTGGTGGTGGATCAGGCTCGGACCTTGGATGAGAGGATGAGATGATACACTGCTCGGCCATCTCTTGGCTCTTTGGGAGTTACGACCTGTACCCTAACCTTTTGAACAGTTGCTTTCTCCCTAACAGTTTGACCTGGGATGTAATGTGCCATCTTAGGGATGAGGGGTTTCCTTCTGGCCACCGGAGGCTAGCTTTTCTCAAAGCCTCGATGTGATTGACGCTTGTTGGACTTGGGAGCCTGGTTGATCCCGCAGATCAGCATTCAGAATGGATTCCGATCCTAGACAACAGACATGGCTTTTTGGGTTCCGTATTCATGTGCAGGAGAGTACATGTTCATGTGCTTGCACCCTTTTGGTCCAGCGAACCTTGTTTTGAGGCAGAAGTTGGTCAAAGTTCGTTGATTTGTTTGTGGTTCATAGAGGGACATAGGGGGCTCACCGAATTTCTCATGTCTTCTTGGGGGAACAAGCACCGAGCCCGAGACCGAGGTGCGAGCTCGAGGCATGGGGAATTGGTACCTCATCTGGGCGCGGTCTGAGTGATGCGATCGGATCGATTCTGCGAGTCGAAAAGCCGGGCAGAGCTGGCTCGCATTTGGTGCCATTGGTCCCATGCTGTCCCCGTATTCCATTTTGTCCATTGTGTTTTAGCAGTCCAAAACAAGGATACCAAAAGGGGATTGTATGTTCGAACTTGTTCATGTTTACGGCGCTGCTTATCTGAATGTGGATGTCTTAATTCGACCTCTTGGAAGCCAGGCCTAAAGAACCCTGAGACTTTTCAATGAACTTTGCCCAGGAATCGTTCAGAGCGTCTTCCCTCAATGGTACACGCATTCTGCTTCATTAATTGGCTAGGGAGGAACGTGATGTCTGGTTCCTCAGATTGCTTGCATCGCAACATGCAAGAGTGGAGACAACAAGTTGGTGGGAACCATCCTTGGCCAGTCTGAAGGCTGCTCGTGTGATTCTTGATTTGAGACTTGAGACTGGTGACTCTAGAAACCACCCCATGTGTGACCAAGGCACCACTTCTTTTCTAGGCGCATAACGCAACACACAGCTCGACCATTGGATGAAGAGTCGCATCCGGCTTGATCCCAGCCTGCAGGCTGCGGCCTGAAAAGATCCCTGATACATAGATCCGCATCGACTGACACGGCATCCTCCGAGTCGTCACTGCAACGAAGCCAAGGATTGATACCACAATGCAACTATTTCTCTAGACATCTTCTTTAGATTGCACGGTGGCTCCACGCCCCTCTTTCGAACTCAATTTTAAATTGAGTTTTAGAGAAGCTATCGGGCCTGGATGGTTGTTCTTCCGGATCATGTATTTGTGTGCTTCGGATTGCGTCTTGCGCGAGAGCAGCTACTCGTGGCCCGGGAGATCGCCAAAAGCCCCCGTCAGTCACAATCGGTGTGCCCTGGCGACCGTGCTCAAGCTGATGCAAAGACATTCAAGGGGGTGATGTGATTCAGTTCTGTGCTGGGTCAGCCTTTGTGACTATATGAACTTTCCAGGGGTCCTGTAAAAGTTCGCAAGACTCTGAGAGGGGTGCTCAATGGAGGAACAGCTCATTCTCCAGGGTATCGTGTGTGGGGTTGGGCTGACTCTTAGCGTGCGCAGTAGCCATGAGCGATTCCACACTGCGAAAGGCGGATAGAGTCAAGCTGCAGGGCTTGGTCAAAAGGCCAACATTGAATGGTTGGCCAGGTACTGTTCTGGCGTTTCATGAGGGTCGTTACCAGATTCAACTAGACGGCCACGATGTCAAGGATGCAAAACGCATTGCTCCTGGCAATGTTGCCGGATTGCATCACAAGATGCCAGCTGCAACATTCGTGGATATTCCACAAGCATGCACTGGGAGGGTGGATGGTGGCACAGGCATGTTCGGGGTACATGGTCTCACGACATCAAACATCGGCCAATGTGCCATTTGCCTTATCCTCGGTACGTCTCGTGCTTCGATGACCCACGTGGACAACGCCATGAACCTGAACTTCCTTCAGTCTGAAGTTGCGTGGGTTGGAGAGCATGCACAGATTGTTGTTTACTCGAATGAAACGAACACGGAATTCTTTGCGAACCGGAACCGCCTGACTCAGCACATTCAAGCATGTGGCCTCAAACCAAAATTCAGAAACATTCCCTTTCCAAGCTCTGCAGGGGCTAGCTTTAGGGACTTGAGCGTTGAGTTGCTGGCTGGGGGGCCTTTCAACGGCCCTGCGGTTGCTTGCAATTCTATGCCAAACTTCGTGGTGAAACACCCTCGTGCTGTGGCAATCACAGCTGCAACGAAGGTCTGCGACCATTTGAAGCTGCTACGTCTAGGGGACTCGGTATCACATCTAGTCTTCAATTGTTGGCATTGGTGCTGCATCACCGTCACGAATCTCTTGCCAGACAGAGTC